AATTTTACTGAGTTTTTATCTGACCGAACGCGGTTCAATAAAAATTGGTAACAATTGTTACAGCTCAGTAACTCGCCGAACGCACTAACCGTCACACATATACAAATGTAAACATCAGTTTTGCCATTTCGGCCTTAAGACAGTGACGGAAAAATCGTTCTACGAGCTGACAACGTATGAAGTCAGCCATTCCTGACATATGTTGGCTCTAGTGATCGGAAGACTTGCTGTAGCTGAGTTTTTTTTTAGGGGAAAATTCATGAATGCCTGTTTGTGTAAGAAATCTTGAAAACTAAGCGTTTTTACTTACTGGGTTACGGGGATTCTTATATATAAAAATCCTATGTCCGTTTGGAAAAATCCTGTATTCTCCAAAAATCTCCAAAAGTTACCAACCGATTAATTAAAAATTTTGTCAGATTGTTCCTATGGTTCCTGTGCAGGTTTACAAGAAGTGTACCAGGGACTGACCTATTCTAAGAAATCTTATTTATGGTGTAGCTAACTTGAAATTCGGTGTATGGGTGGCCTTTTGCTTAGATTAACAGGAAAACTATCCTTCTCTCCGGGAAATGTAACAGGGACTGACCTATTTTTGGTTAGATTTACTTTAAATTATATTGTTTTTTTTCCTAGATTAACAGGAAGTCTACAATTCTCTCAAAAAATCCTACTACTCTTATCTGCGGATAGTGGACCAGAGACTGGTCTATTCGAAAAAAAAATTTTATTTATATCTGGATTTACTTAAAATTCCATATATATATGTAGCTTTTTGCTTAAATGAGCAGCAAAACTACACTACTCTCCAGGAAGTGGACCGTAGACTGGCCTATTCAAAAAGTCGGACCACTCCGCTATCTGTGAAGTGGACCAATGTCAATGATAAAACCAAAAATTCCGTAAATATTCCCACAAATATTGAGTAAAACATTGTTTTGACAAAAATATAGCCCAAGATTAATTTTACATGCATTTATTGAGTATGTGCGACAACAACACAGCGTTCCAGAGTACAGTTAGTCTAATGATAAAATAATGAAAAGTCTGTCAGAGGGAGTAAAGATACCCCTAAAAAAAAAATTATGAAATTTTCCATTGACAAATTGCAAAGTGGTTTCAATAGTTTCACGAACTCCAACTTTGAGGTCTTACGTCGACGTCGGCCTGTTGGCGTAGACCTTGCCTATCACGTTGTACCAAAAGAAGAAGTCTCAAGGTGTTAAATCACTAGATTTCGGTGGCCAATTACGATCAACTCTTACTCGAGAGGTAGCACCAAATCAATACTACTGGCCGGAATCACCACCACTTCTCGATAGCGCAATCCATTCATTTTCGAAAAAGTAAAATTCTATGACAGCGCCGAATCATAAACCGCACCAAGCTGAACGCCAGCTGCGACAGTTTTGTTTATTGAGGTAGACGACGAGATGGAAACGGGCCTCATTACTCAAGATGACTTCTCGGTGACATTTTTATACTGAATTTTATTAATCTCAATGCGTTGTTGACGCACGAATTGTACCATTTTTATTACTGGCGTAGTTTTTACTTGTCAAATGTCAAAATATTACAGTTTTGAAAGTGACATCTACCGGCATCTCTTATCCGAAACACCTTTAAATTCCCAAAAGTTGGCAATAAATGCCATCGATTTAAAAAGAAAAATATATATTCTGAGGTATATTAAGTTTAGCCAGTAATTTAACCACCACGCCTTGTAGGCGCTTCCAACAGACAATTGTAAATTGGGTGATTAATCAAGATTCACAATCGGAAAAGAATTGCTAAAAAAAACTTTAAGCATTAAAACGGAAATTAAAACAAAAAACAAAAATATATTGATGCATGTATGTATGTATATAATTGATTGTAAACAAACGCAAGCAGAAATAAATTTATACAATAAGTGTCTTAAATGTACAATTACATACTGCGATCTTTACATACATACTCGTACTCGTACTTGTACATAAGTACCCAGGTATGTAAAGCCAATTAACGTCGTTTAATTGCATTTGATTGCAAGTTGCAGATAAATGTAAAAGAATACCCGTACATTCCATGCTCGTTGACGGCCACCAACCAAAATCACAAAACCATTCGCAGTCAAGTACAAATGCACAATGATACCGGGATGATGCAGGCAAGCAGTGCGCAGGCGCAGACGCAGAGGCTAGTGATTCTACTTACTGCCATGAATTGATTATTTTACATAGTTGCAGTTCGTCGGTGGCGCTGCGGTGCACCACCCATGGCTTGAAAGGTAATTTTTAAACCTTAAAATTTGTTTTTATTTTTTTATTTGTATTTATTTTTTTGCCGCCATTGAAAACTGCACAATTTTTTCTGTATTTTTTTTTTTTTTTTTTTTGTTGTTGCTTTACTACTTGTGCCCTTTTCACTCACAGTTGGCTGTCTAATTAATGCACAACATGTTGCCATTTCGTTGAAAATAAGGGCTTAACGATATTTACGAGCCTGAAATTCGCTTTAGAAAACTTGACGGCGGTGACGGAGACTGGTTCTAGTCACTTGCGCACATACATATGCATATATATGTACATAAGTATGTTTATATGTACATCTAAGGTTCTACAGCTCATTTGCCTACCTCTAGGAATCCAAACCGTCTTGCCAATTTAAAGACATGTCTTGACGTGGCCGTGTCCGTCGTTGATCAGCTTGAAATCTTGTCAGCGTCACTTTACTTTAAGAAATTCAAACAACCAGCAATTGCGGCATGTGGTTTAATGTGCGAGTACTCGCATGTGAGTGTGTCTGTAGGTGCGTCTTTAATTTTTTATTACTTTTGAACTGATTTTTCACTGCCATGTATCTCACGACGGGACAGAAGCCAAACCGTCGAATTGATTAACATGTTGGACAACTTCATTTCGTTGATACGGCGAAAAGGCAGGCTCCTCTATCTGCATACGCTCCCAGGGTGTGTGGCTAGTTGGTTGATCTGTGTTGCTGTGTATGCAAAGTGTATCAATGACAACGGTCCAATTCAGCAATCGCGCCTGTTACTTACGAGTTTATAAAAAAAATTAATATTCTTCGCATAGCGAGTATGTACATATATTATATGCTTATGCTGGGGGCTGGTCGGTAGTTAAGTGGTTGTTGTAAGATAAGATCATACGGTGTGGTTAACCAGAACGAATGGCGTAATTGAGTTTGTTCGAAAATGAGTAGGAGTAGGTGCAGGAGAAGGGATGAAATAGAAGTGGAATTTGATTACCTGCCTGCATTTTATCTAATTCGGGAAATTCCGCTTCAAATTTGAATATTTAATGCCACACTTAGTGGGAACAAGCTTACGTTGTACAAGATTAATGAATTGATTAGATTGTGGCTATTTGCGGCAACCCTTATGTGTGCATTCGCGAGTGCTCATCTCTATACAAATATTGTTAAATTAACAAAAAGATATGAGAGAATTTTTAAGAAGCACGATAACTGCCCCAGACAGGGAACTAATATACATATGTACAAATGTAGCATGAAATAAATGAGTTAGCAGGCTGCATGAGCCGATAGGCCGACTGTGTTGTGGGAGAGTTCTTCCAATTCTTAATCTCCGATTTTACCTTCGGACCACATACATTGTGATCATATTACTTGTGAGAACCGCTCACCACACACGTTCACCTTTTTTAAGGAACTTGAGTGGGAAAGTTCTTCTTCTTCTCCGCGATCCAATTATAGCTGCATCAACGTTAGCGCACAACTTATTGTTGTTGTTGTAATCGCAAAATATCTGTCACAGTAGTTTTTGGGTAATATTGCATTTTAGTCGCCCCTTACGGCAGGCAAGCCTTACTGCGTGTAAATTCTTGAACCTTACCGAAGGGTGTTTGGCGATGGATCGAAATACCAAGTGAAACCAGGTCGCTTTCCACCCGATCCTTCCAACCTAGTGGAGGTCTTCCTCTTCCTCTGCTTCAAAGCTGGAGTGTTTTCATATATTCAGAAGACATGACCTTGACAGAGTGGATATCTAGTTAGTGGATATCTCAGTTTGCTACCGGTGGGCTGGAGTCTAGTGAGATAGTTATGAGCTTAAAAGGGATTAAAGTCCATAAGTCGTTCATAATTTCTGTCCCACATTATGAAACAAAATAGTGGACGTTGTCAACATGCAAATCGTTCACAGTTTCTGATAAATGGATGAGAGCACTTCAGCATTGCGAGCGCGAGAAAGATTTCCACTTCGTTAAAAGTATCAAGTGCAGAAGGGCGTGACTTAACATATGATCTTCTGTTGGAGTCGATCTGCAATGAAAGGAAAGACACGCGATAATCGCGTAAGCAGTATATACATCAATTGAGGAGCAGAAAGATTATGTAATAATTCGACAAAGACATCACCCATCGGAAATTCCTTCCGTTGTTTATAGAGCATGCCCACCACAGCTATGTGCAGAGTTACTTTTGTGAAATCACGAGCTATTTAGTTGTTTGTGAGCTTAATATCGCGACAAACTGAATCTCCTTGGGTCCTTTCCTCTGCATTTAGGCCTGGAAGGAAGAAGTTGTTGAGGGAAAGAGAAAAATATCAATAAATGAAACCCTTCAGGAGATTCAATAATCCCTAAGGCTCTTGAAGTAGAGAAGTGAACTCCAGAGGAAAAGTCAGAGGTAATATCCCTCTTTTGACCTTGAAATTGTATTGGGGTGGGGTGGTTGGAGATGGTGCGGGATGGTGATTCATTGATTTATTTGTGCGTTTTACCTCTTACAACAACAACAGTTGCTACTTCGCTGTTGTTTTTTCTTAATTATCGTGAATTTATATTAAAGATTTTTACTTTGTATATTTATAAAACTTCTTTTTCCACAGAATATTTTCTCATAACCGAGTAGTCGAGTAACCATTTTAGCTGTAAGAATCATTTTGCTCAGCCAAGTGCATCCCTACATTGAAATCAGCTGTAACAATGCCCACAACAACAAATATACACAACAATACCCCACAATGTTTTGACAGTTCATTGCATTCGACTGATCGAATTTGTTGTGTAGCAAAAAGTGTAATTTTAATTCTGCGAAAGTTATTGATAAATTTATAATAACAAAATTAAAGCTATGAATAAATATAAGTAGCACTTTTATTACATGCAACTATATTGCTGAAATTGTGAAATATTTACAAACTAGCAAATGTTATTTACAGCCAACTAACGTTTAAATTTTCATACTTTTAAAAAGTGAAAATATAAATAAATTCTAGCAACCAAAAAACTCTGATTTTGCTTAAAATTTGCCTAAAATTATAATAATTACAACCACCAAACAACAAAATGTCCTCCGGCTTAAAGTGTCGCAATTGTGGCTCCACCGACATCGAGGAGGACAATGCACGTGGCGATGCTGTCTGTACAAATTGCGGTTCGGTGCTTGAAGATTCACTTATAGTTTCGGAAATACAATTTGAAGAGGTTGGTCGAGGTGCAGCTGCCATAGGTCAATTTGTCTCCGCCGAGTCGACGGGTGGCGCTACAAATTATGGTTATGGTAAATTTCAAGTTGGTTCTGGCACGGAGTCTCGTGAAGTTACTATCAAGAAAGCCAAAAAGGAAATTACACATTTATGCCAACAATTGCAATTAACACAACATTACATTGATACAGCATTGAATTTCTTTAAAATGGCTTTGGCACGTCATTTGACGCGTGGTCGCAAGAGTACGCACATTTATGCAGCTTGCGTTTACATCACCTGCCGTACCGAGGGCACCTCACGTATGTACATTCATTCTTCATTCCATTTATATTGTATATTATGGAACATGCAACAGTGTTCTAATTACATTATTTCCCTGCTCTATAGATTTGCTGATTGACATCAGTGATGTGCAACAAATTTGTTCCTACGAATTGGGTCGTACTTACCTCAAACTTTCCAATGCATTATGCATCAACATTCCTTCTGTCGGTAAGTGTATGAACTCTTTATATTTATGAAATTTAGTTGTGCAAGTTTTGAAAATTCATACCAAAAGAAATTAATGCATAAAAACTAGAGTTAGATTTATGATCAGTGAAAATAGGAACAAAATTTAAGATAAGCTGTCTGGCTTTGGTAACCGAAATGTATTATTTTTTTTATGAAAATCCTTATACGTCGATACAACAGTGCTGCGAATCAAAAAGTTTAAAAGTTTCCCTACCTTCTTTGTGGCACATATTTAAAACCATGCTAAATTCAAAAAGCCTCTTCCGATTCGTTGAAACTGATTATTGTTTTTTGCCTATGACGTAGATCTACATACGTATTAACATGTGCTATATATATATATTATTTGGTTAAAATAAATATTATTCTTATAGTCGGAAATTTTAGTTCCGCAAAATATATATTTCTTAATTACCCATCCCATTTCCATTTAAGAATTGAAAACTTCATTGATTTAAAGGTAATTCAAAAGTCTTTAAAGATCTTTATTAAATATTATACGATGGATAATATCGACAGATTGAATGAGATTAAAAAAAGTTCAAAATATTTCAGTATTAATAAAACTTCAAAAGGAACAACCTTTGCACGAATTTTAATATAAAAAAGTATAGCTTGTAATATAATATAATTCAAAGCGTAAATAGTATAAAATTGCATATGATTTAAGCAAATAGCAGTTGTAACATAATATATATATTTATTTCGATTGGGTGTTGCATTATCTCTTGACTGGCCATTTCCAATTTAATGCTTAATAAAAGCGTAACAAAACGATGAATGAAAAAACACGAGTGTCGGTATATAATGCGGTATAAATGCAAGACTTTAAAATGCTAAATGAAATTGCAAATTTGTTGGTAATTATGATATTAAAAAGCATACAATATTCCAATATTCATAATGATTATTATGTTTATGTGTGCATACGCGCTATTTGGGCGTAAGACAAACGCTAAAACTCTACGTGAATGCTAATTATTATAATTCGACTGGGATGTGCAAACGTTTTTATTTCTTTGGGTCATATATATGTAATATATCATCATTATAAATGTATTGCATTACTAATGAAACTCGTAATTACTCGCGTACGCAACTCATTATACTAAAGTACACGTTATATTTTCGCAAAAACTTTTTCAAATATTTATGTATATATATGAATGTATATAGTATGTTAGTTAAGTATGCTTTGTATTTTTTAACTTTTGTTTCGGGTTTATGAAAAAACTAGTGAAAGAATTACTAATATGCTTTTTATGCACTTTTGTGTGTATATATATATGTATAAATGTATGTATGTAATTGTATATGAAAGTGTGTTTTTGAGTGTTAATATGTAGGCAAAAGTTTAACAATGACATGACTCTTGATAAATACATAATTTCTGTTTTATGTAAAAATCCTTCCTGTCCTTTTATTTTAATTTTCATGACTTGTTTATATATGTACGTATGTAATATGCAATTGCTTTTTTGTTTACATTATTTCCCAGGTTATTGTTAACGGTTTTTGTTTTTTTTTTAATTCTACATTCTACAAGTCTTTCAAAATCGCATGCCATATTATTTGTTTCATAATATAAATGTAAGTTGTTTAGCGTTTTTTTTTTTTTTTTTTTTTTTTTGCCTTTAGAATTTGTTTTACCAAATTTGATTGCCTTGTCCCCTTGCTAACTTCCAATAAACAAAGGAAGTGCCTTATCAAACGTTTTTTAGATTTTAAATCGAATTACAACTCATATAAATATTTAACCTTAATAATTACATAAACCGATTTCCTAGCAATGACTCATCATTTTTGTGTTTATTTGTAAATATTGCCTGTATTTAATTTTATTTGGTTGTCCGCTCGCTCACTTCCTACTACAAACTACTAATCAATATAGTTATTCTTTGTAAAATTCTCATTGAAAAACCATAGATTGCCATTATTTGTTCTATTCATATTTCTCACTAGAATTCTAACTCAACACCCCGTTTGCCACACTCCAAGGCAACTCATGCGCTTAATGCGCCACTACCGCTACCACCGACATCACTGCTTCCGCTACCCAATAAGTCATCACAATTTACATGTAAGCCGCCGCTACCGCCATTCGATACACCGCCACCTGCGCCACCACCGCTCCCTGCACCGATTGGTGTAGCACACAGAGAATTTGTTGGCGAGCTTAGTGCCGTCACTGTGGTTGGTCCGTAAAATATCAGTTCTGGTATTTGACCACCCTGCACGCCAGTGCCGTTTGTGCTCTCCGATGAACATTGAAACTGGAATGTTACATTGCCCATGCACACCTCCGACATGCCCTCCTGACCGAAGAAGCTCAATTCATTGCCATCCAGTATGACGGAGGCAGTGTAGTAACACTCGGGTTCAATCTGTATGGGATTCTCAAAGAAAACATGAAATGTATTGCTTGAGCCATCAGAGAAGAATTTGGTGTCGTTTTCGGCGAGTGTACGACCGAGTCGTTTTAATTCGATTTTCACATTGTAATTAGCAGCACCGGTGGAGGAACCATACAGACCGAAACCAACAATGAAAATTCTGCAAAACAGTAATTTCAATATATTGATAAGCACACATGCATCACATATATGTAGATTATTGAAATGAAAATCAACTCCCAACAAACCTGCGATCCACTGAAAACTGTATGGAGTCGCAACGTCCACGGTAACGCCATTGATTCGAACGATAAGCACACGATTGGAAACGATGGCATACTTGTGTTTTTAGGCCTGCACGTGCGCGTGTTGGAAAACTTAAATGCGGTTTTGATTGTGCGGTAAAATGCAAAAATGTATCAATAGTCTCTTGTGATGTGAGTATGCCTGTTTGGGCAACGCCATTCGCAAACTCCTCCAACGTCATTGTTGGTATGCGTATCAAATGTAATGCCTGACCGAGCATGCTGCGTTTATTCTGTGGTGTCACATCAACGCCCATCTTCTGGCAAGCATTCAGAGCCCAATTGAGCGCTGCCTCAAAGAGATGAATCTCCTTGCAGTTGAGCGTCTCACGCGACAATATCGACTCGAATGTCTTTAGGTCGATGTCGACAAAGTCTTCTGATTTAATCGCCATTTCGGCCTGTAAGCATATAAAACAAAATAGTTCAATGATATATATGTACATATATATATAAATATGGTATTTTGCATGGTACGCACTTGTGCATCGATTACTTCCCAGCAACGCTGCATCAACTCGGGCTCTTCGAATAGACGAGATTGACTGAGAAGTAGACAGGCGTTTTTTGCCGTCAGTTTGACTTCTAAATAATTGACGCAGGCGCGTGCTAAATGTGGCACAATATACTTCTTGGCCGCGTACAATGTGGCCAAAATGTTATCAGGTTCCAATTGAATCTCATCACAATATAGGTATCTGTTGGAGGCGATTAATGTGTAAATAAATTTTAGTTTTTCCCTTCAATGCTTTTTAGTACCTTAATAGCGTTAAAAAAGCTGATGGCTCCACATCAGGCACTTTGATTTCTTGTTTATTCTCAGCCAGTCCACCATAAAACATAGCGTAGAACACCGAGCTACCTGTGGCCAAGATATATTTGTGCGCCGGTATTGTTTGCACGCAATCTGCTAATATTGAGCAAAATTTACAGGGAAATAAATTTGTATAATATTCAAGGGAAAACAAACATTATAACATACCGAATTCTCCACCCACAACAAATTTCACATCTGACATCAACTCATTGTTAAACATTGCCGCATTACGCTCCAGCACTGTCGCTTTGGTCGCTTGCCAATTGGGATCAGCTGTATCGATCGCATTTGCCGCTGAATTGTTGGATTGATTCGATCCGCCGGCTGCACAAACATACGAACCACTACCACTGCCGCCGCCACCGCCGCTGCTGCTGCTACTACTAGCGCCCGTCGAACTTGATGGCAAACAAAAGAGTGCCGAGCTGCTAATAGCACCCGGAGACGCAAGTGGCGACGAAGGTGCACTGATGGGTTGCGTTATTTGTATATTATGCTCGCCGCTGCCCGTTGTACCGCTACCGCTTGTAGAACCACCGCTTGCGCTGCTTCCTCCGCCACTCGCTCCTGCTGCGGCGCCTGCTAAAGCCATACCGTTGCGTTGTTGATGGTGATTATTTGCTGAATTGTTGTGTGGCGGTGATAACAATAGACCATTACCATTGTTCAAGGTTTCCACTGTAATCAAATATGTGTAAAGAATAGATTAGTAAACTTGAAATGTAGATAGCACACGAACGTGTTTACAAGGCGTTTTCGTAGTGTGAGTGCGAAATATTTTTCGAAAATCGAAATTCCCTTTTGCTGTTTTGTTACTCCCCGCCGGCCTGTTTGTGTATCTATTCATTATTATGGAGATAGTTAAATTCACTATCTTTTCTATATTTATAACATTATTATCAGATTATTTTTCTCTTTTCTATTAGAAAATGTGCTGCTGTTTCTTATTCTGTTGTGACGGTTTCGAGTTACTGTAAATGTTTGAAGTACTTTTCCCAAGTGACTTTCATTTTATATTATTAGGCCTGAATCAAACATTCAGATGTAGGTGACACACTCCTGCAGTGACCTCTTATCAGTAAACGCTGCTTGACCACAAATGGCGAATAATACATATGTAAATACAAAACTGAGACCGAGATTTCAAAGTATATGGATATAAATTACAAGAAATAATCGAATTGCTAAAAAAGATATTTTTCGTTAAGTTTAAAATGAAGACTACCCAGCAAGAACGGTCTGGTGAAAGAAAGAAATTTTTCATTTGACCATTAAGTGCAATCAAATTAGCAATTAGTTAATATCAAAATGCATGCAAAAATAAGAAATTTGGAGATTTAATTTCCAGATTTCACATATTACATAAAAATGTAATAAAAATTGAATTTCATCTTCTGGAAATTACTTTTTCATGAGCAATGGATACTTTAAATGCAGATAAAAGAATGCAGTCACACACTGGAATTTTTCTTTCTGAAATTATAGGAATTGCGTGAAGGAAATAGAAATTTTGTGTCAATTGGATAGCGGTACCAAGTACCAGTGAAGGGAAGTTCACTGCTTATAAACTAGTTTAAATATTTTTCAAAAACAAAATTAAAGAGTAAATCTAAAATGACGATAAACTGATCACAAAAAATTGAAGCAAGTGAGAGCACATGTTTCACTATATATTATTTTTATTCAGTTACCTTATAAAATAAGAACAAATAACGAAGAAGTACATATATGTATATGTATGTATAAGATGTTAAGATTCACACTACACGAAAACACATGCACCTAATTAAACTTTCAATTGCCGCTCACCCATATCATTTATTTTTGTTATGCATTTAAACAACGAATGCACGAAAAATTACAATGAAGTTACGAAAAAATCAATACAAACACTAACTGACTTCTCCACAAGCAAAACCCACATATGTACATACATTTATATACCTATACATATATATTTACATGTGTAAGTGCCAGCCGATAAAATATTAAAAAAAAATAACTGCCTATTTTTAGAAAAAATAGCACCGTATGCCCATATTCACCTGCACCTACCATTTATCCATGCATTCATTTGTGAATGCGACATCGCCTCCTGGTTCCGCTTATTAATCGACTTTAGAGAAAGTCTATTGTTATTCGCCATTGAAAATATTACTGTTCTCAAGGACTTGCTTTATGATTGGTGGGGGAACAAATGTATACACAAAAACTTGAAACACAAGAGTTTCACATATAAGTATTAACTATTAAGACAGTTTAGGCACCCACAAAACACCATCTAACATGTTAATTCATAGCACCACAGTTTCTTTTTCCTTTTCTGTTCAAAAATTTTACTATAATTTTCCAATTGAATTCATTTAACTTCACTTTTTTCGTGAATTCCCATAGCTGCCATTTTCGTATCACTTCAACATAAATTTTCCCTTGCAATTGATTGCATTTGTCATTTTGTCTGCTTCGCGAATGTGTTGAATGAGAAACCAGGCAACTGGGGCTTTAGCCATGTTGCCACTTGTAAATGAAGGAAAAACATTTTATTTTTCTATTTACCTTGTTTTGAATTGGTTAACTTGTACATGTTAGTAAAAAATTTGTATCATTTATAATGTATTTGATATTAGCACATGTATTTGGGCTTTCTAACGTTTTTAAATAACATTTTAGGCATGAAAAAGGTTTTTCAAATCTTATGATGATGGTATGGCAACATGCTTATGGTTGTTTTCTCTCATTATTGCGTTCACAAGTGAAAAAGTGAGACAACACTATTATACTTCGCGGAAAAGCTACCTGGAGTAATTAATAAACCATTTAGCTACCGGCAGATATTCGTTAGTCAATTATTTCTACTTTTTAGTGTATGCACATAATATTTAATAAAATCGCCTATATAGTATATTTTATTACATTTTGAATCTCAACAATTTTCATGGCACACACATTTCGAAAAAATTCAAAGGTCTTGTCTTTTTCAGTTTTAATTAAACCATACGCTGAATATGCGAATTTCGGTTTTTACTTTTGTTATTGCTCAAACATACCTACATATATCCGCAAATGCAAAAGGTTAATTATTATCAATTTTAACGCAATATTGCACCAAAATACGAGCCTTCCGGTTGACACTCAAAGAATATTATTAAAGCATATTACGAATATGCGGAACTGATATTTATTATTAATTAATTTGTTTACGATTATAATTATCTATTTATGATAAAAACGAAATAGTTTTGTTAAATTTTGATAAACTCGTTAGAATAAAAGAACCCTCTTTCCCTTATATCTACGCGTAACGCCTAAGCCATGAAAATAAAAATCTGCGTCCACTGGCTTTCAAAGTGTGCTGCCTGTTTTCAAATGTTTAGCCATGCAAACTGTGAAATATAAATAACCTCACTTCAAAGTTAATTTCTACTATTTGCATTGTTGTTAATTTTGTTTATTGTATTTAAGTGCAGGTTTTCAACACATTCTTCGCGTTAAACAAATTTTTGTCTTCATTGTACTTGGTTTTATTATTTTTTTAAGATATTTTTACAGTTCGGATAATGCCACTATTTTTTTCTGAAAATTCAATAAATAACTTAATTTTTAGAATATAAAGCTCACACTTTTTTGCGATTCGAATAGAAAAATATGCATGTAGGTAGTTCTGCACTCAATATGTTTTAAACCAACAAATTTAATTTCGGTAATTTATGAAAAAATTAAATAAAAATGAAAAGAATAGCAAAAAAAAATCTTTAACAAAAACAATGTTCTACAACAGTAACTATAAATATCGCGCACATTTAACTGTTTAGCTTGCGAATTTATTTCGAAGGTTTATTTGGCTTTCTTGTGAAATAGTTTTTGTTCTTTTCGTTTCATCTTCGATGGTTGTGAATTTCAAATTACTATTGAATGTTTTTCATTTTAATGGAAGCTAAAATTTGTTTGAACACTGTCAAAAAGTTGTCGACCTTTAACAAATTCATTACCAATTTCCGATATACACAGATAGAGGCCATATAAATGCGTAAGTATATGCATATGTTGTGTAGATATGTATGTATGTTTGATTATGCACACACATGCTAACTTAAAAGTCAAGCAGTTACCTGTGGTCAATTCGATTCTTTTTTACTAAACTTTTGCTTACACATTCAATACATATTTTCATACATACGTGTGCATATGTATGTACAAGTGTACAAATTACAAAGGCACTTTAAATTTAACTTATTAACTTCACACTAATTTTATTAAACTTACTATTTGGACTTGTCGCGGAGGAGGAGGTGATGCGGTTATTATTTACATTGTTTGCATTTGTTACACTATTTCCACTATTCACTGCTAACACTCTAGCTGCTGTCGTCGTTGTTGTTGCCGCCGCTGTTGACAGTATTTCACGATTACTCGCCGTTTGCTGTTGCTGCTGTTGCTCAAGTACTTCCTGATTGCCATCGTTGCTACTCGCATATTCAGGCTCATAGCTGTGCCTATACGCGCTACCCCAATGACCATTGAAGTCTTCCTCCTCGAGTGTTAGGAGATGGTCCAACACCTGAACGCCACGTTCAAGTGGACCGTGGAATTTGTTGATAAGCTCGGTGAAACGCAGATTGAGACCGTTCACTTCCGGTTGGGACGCTGCCCAGTAGAATAAATGTCGACCCAAATGACTACTTAAATTATTGGCAAAGGCTTCGATCATCTTCTACGCGCTGCATAGCAGACGAACGGCGACGGCATTATAAAACTAAAATACATATTTTTCTAATTTATATAGTATCACTTTTTATAGCGTGGCAGTTGTTGCTTAGGTATGCTTTGTTGTTCCTAGCGGGTAAGCGAGTATGTTTGATGTGTGTGAGAATATGTTCAGGTGGGCTCTAAAAGAAACAGAAAGAGAAGTAAATTGAATGGTGGCTTAGAATTTGTTGATAGCAATGCAAAGTAGATTGATAGACATTGGTGATAATACCAGTTTTGAGACAAAATATTTAAAAAAAATTTATTGAAATTAAAATATTATGTGATTCTTAGGTTTTCGTTGTTTTTTTTTTATTAGCATGATTAGATTTTTAATATTCCGCTTTTTTTACCATTCATGTGTCATATTGTTTTCGGTGTATTATTATATTAGACTAAGATTTGTTAATTTTTCTTAATAAATAAATTTTTTTATATATTTTTAAAAATTAATCAGAAGAAAATTGTATAATATACTTAAAGTTAATTACATACAACTCAAAGTAAGTCATTCAAATTTCTTTAATGTTATTTTATTTCATATTTGTTTTACTTTATTTTACTTTATTTGAAATACTTTGTTTATTTTATTTTACTTTGTTTTTTATTTATTTATTTGATTTATTAATTTATTTTATTTAACTTAATTTTTCCATTATATATTTGTAGTTTGTTTTATTTTTAGTTATATTTTTTTTCATTTTAGCATAATTAATTTTTTTTATTACCTTATATTTTATCTTATTCCATTTTAATTTATTATAATAAAGTTTTTCAACTTACTTTATTTTATTTCGTTTTATTTGTTGATTTATTTTATTTCGTTATTTTCTTTTTCATCTTTCTTAAATATTATATATGTATTTAATTTCAAATTATTATGTTTATTTCAATTCTTTTAAGGTATTTGCTTGTGTTTTTATAAAATTTATATTTTAATATTTTTTAATTTCATTTTGTTGTATTAATTTTATTTTAATTAATAATTTTTTTACTTCATTTTTTATTCTTCAGGCATACATAAATATTAATAACATATTATATATCTATATGTTATTAATATTTATGTATGCCTGAAGAATAAAAATATATATATTTTATTTTAATTATTTTGTATATTATTTTATTTGGTTTTACTTAATTTTTTTATTTGTTGCTGATTTATATTTTTTGATTTATTAATGTGTAGCTTAATTGTTTTCATGACATGTATATTTTGTATTTAATTTTTTTATTTTAATATATTTGATATATTTATTTACTTTATTATTTTACTTTTTTGTTTATCATATTTTTCATTATATTATTTTATATTTATTTTATAATAAATATGGAAAATATTTATTATATTTTTTTTTTGGTTTATTAAATTTATCTTCAATTTTTACTTTAGCTATGCATAATATAAATACATAAATTGTATTAGTATTTTATTTCGTTTAAGCGGCTAAAAAGCGCCAATTATATTATATATATTTTTTTTGACTATATTTAAAAAAAAATCCAATTAATTAATTAATATTTTATTTAATTTCAATTTTTCATCTCAGCTATATGTATGTGTGTATATATGTATTTTATTGTGATTTTTTTTATTTTAATAAATTTAATTTATTAAATTTCTTTTTCTTCATATTGCTTTATTTTTTAATATTATTTTATTTCTATTTACTTTAGTTAACTTATTTTAATTAATTAATTTTTTTATTTAACTTAAATATGTTTTTTTCAGCTATGGGCATAAATTTAATTTATTTTATATTTTGTTTCTTTATTTTTATTTAGTCTGATTTCACTCGTTTTATTCAATTTATTTATTTTATTATATTTACTTTTATTTTATGTTACTTAATTTTTAATATTATATATTTTAAATTTTTCTTTTTATTAATTATAATTAATATATTTAAATTAATTTTATTTTTACGTATTTATTTTTAATGTAAGTTTCATTTTGACCGCTTTGTTTTGATCAAGTTTTTCGTTCCAATTAAAATTAATTTCAACGCTATTAATTTCGACTTACATTGCGCCAAACAAGTTTATATACAGCTAAATATTTAATACGTACATACGAACAACACATCTTGCTTTTTAACCGATATTTTTTACATTTCCTCAAATCCGTTTTTGGACACTTTCACTTGATTTTAATTTTTTGTGTTGCAGGAAGTTGCATGATCGCATATTCAATTACATTATGTGCTACATATGTTTTGTACATAACACCTGTCATTTTGTTGTGATATAAAATTGCAATTGTGTTGTTGGCTTTACTGATTACATATACTAATTATTATATTGTTTCATATTTCATTGTGTACCACATTTCTCGCCTCCTTCATTTTTATTTTAGCTTTTGTTGGGGTTTTTTAAAATCGAAATTCTTTTTCGCTTTCTTTGGGGGTCTTTTCCACTTTTCACATTATATAAAAGTGCCATAAATGCTGTCTTACTTGTAAAAAGTATATGGGTATACGAGAACCTGACTTGGAGGACCCAATTTTTTTTATAATGTTGGAGTGCTTACCCTTGAAGTAAGATAAAATTTCGACTGTTTCTTCGCTGAATTTGTCTGTGACATCCGCTAAGGTAATTCTTTTGCGCACGATGATTTTCGTTTGTTAAACAAAATGAATCAAAAAATGTGTATCAAGCCTTAGTCTCATATTTCGTCACATATAATAATACGTTTCAGTAATTCTGCATAACTTTCACTCGCCATTGTTTTCGTTTAAAATTCAACCATTGCGAAACGAATTTTGCTGACCCAAAAAAATTGGAAAAATGCCCCGACATGATCCAATCTCTATGTTAAATCATCAAATGCATCAGCTACATACTAGTTAAATACTAGTTTTTTTATGCGTGTCCAATTTCTACTTCTTACAAATAATAAACTCGGAAGCCTTGACCTTTCCTGTCGATTTTGTATAATTTTATGGACTGATCTGACTTACGCTGAGAGCCACTACTCGAAAGTTGTTTGTTATTCGAAAGTGGTTTTTTATCCCCACTATCGAAGACTTGCGAGCAACTAGCAAACTGGTATGATTTATTATTTAAAATATGGTATTTTCTGAAGTAGTAATATCCTTGTAGGGATGATACCCATATCCATTTCGAAATTAAGGTCAAACTATCAGATATAATATTCATGAAAATAATCCATGAAATTTTTCAGCCTTACATAGTAATCATATTTGTTTTACTTACAGTAAGAATTCAGCGAAATATATATTTGTGGCTTAGCGGCATAAAAAATGATTGCCTATTTTTGCAAATACTACGTTCAGGTAACAGTATTTTATTTTAGAGAATCTATAAAATTATAAAATCAAAAAAAGAAGAGGAATTTGTTTTTCTCCATTACGCCATCAGCAGCTTGTGTCTCGCTTCACCTTTTTCATAGAAAATCGTTGCGAGATTCTCAGTAAATTAATACACCGAATGTAGGAATAAAATAGCGACGCTGGCTAATGCAGGCATGAACAGTGTTGACATGTTTCGAGCTTTATTTAGTTGATATAATTTAGCTTTAGCTTTTACTGTGCCTATTCTAAAAGGTTCTTATGCTTTTCTTAGCTTAACAAATCCTTACAAAGTTTAATGCAGAGACTGTTGTATCAGTTGCTAATGCAGCAAAAGTACATTTCATGCAACCCTAATACTGATTGGGAAGAAAAATTATCGCTAAATGCAAAGTTTCTTCATCATAAAACACTTTTTTAGGATTCTTAATTGCGGCAGCTAAACATTTGTATAACTTCAGATAGTGAAAATTGCACTGCTGAATATTAAATCAAATTAAATAACTTTCATTTATTCATTGTTCGAGAAATATAGTTTAAGATGATCCACACATCAGCACGTTAGATATTTGAAGGAAATAGTGATATGTTTTGGATATTTTCAAGTTTACAGGTTTTCTTAATTTTTTCCGTCAACACCCGCCATGTGTGTGTATAATTTGGTTTCAAAAACGTTATTTCCTTCTAACTGTCATATTATATTGTTTACACAAGAATACTTATAAAAAAAACTTCAGATTTCATACGAAAAGTAATTATGTTATTTACATTAAATAGTAATTGAAAAAATTATTTAATTTTGTAGGTATGAACTAAATCGGTTCATTTTCTCCTTTGAGCTTAAGCTTTGACGCCAACTTGCGTCAAAGATAAAATACTGAGGATAATGAGTTTACTGTTCAAAGTTCCTTCATTTGCCTTTAGTCATCGCTTTGTCCATTGAAAAGGGAGTCAAAAACTAATTTTTTTGAGTAATGTAGTTAAATCCGCGTGCATGAAAAATTTTCCGTTCAAACGAGATGTTCGCTAGGAGAAATTTCGTTTCACCTTGTGGAATAAAGAACAACAGGTTTTAAATTTGTCCGAAATTGATATCATTGAAATTTTGAGCTTTTTTATCGAGCGTTTTACCTTTTATACGTTTTATGCAACTCAAATCATCAAAACACATATTTTGAAATTGGCATAACTGCAAGGATTTTCATTTGCGTTAATTGAGTTTTTTTCATACATTTCTTATAACAACATTTCAAAGGGAAACGAGAAGGGAATTTTCAGTAACTTAATTCAAGCAATTGCCGCTGAGCGATCCCAGAGCTAATGTCATGTAAATTAAAAGAGAGCACCCTGTGCGCTAGGTTCCGCGGAGCACTTCCAGGAAAAATTGTCTACTTATCTGCCATTTTGTAATTTTAAATTTATATTTCAGTATAAAACTAATAACTTTCTTTTTCTTCCGTCAAAAAGAAATAATTTTTTTCTTCGTTTGCAGTGAGGCTACCTCTTAATTTTTAAATGTAAGAAAAACTACTAAAACAATTAATTGTTAGCTTAACGTTTTAAGCTTCTTTTAAAGCTTTTATAAGAGAACTTTTTTGGTTAATTTTAGTTTATTTTCTGGTCAATTCAGCTGGCTGACTGGAAATATTCTGGCAACGATGAGCATGAGTGATGAACGACTTACTACATAAATACATACGAGGTGTGTTCAAAAAGTATCGCGAATTTAGAATTTTCACGGCCTACGTATAATCTAATTTCGATTTTTTTGAGGCGTTATGTTGGTACTCATGTCTGTCACTTATGCCGACAAGCTCGGCCATTTTGAA